TCGAGCCTGAGCTTAAGTGGCTGTGGCTAGTGTCATAGTGCTGTGCTTTTAACCTGTTGCGCCACCAGGGAGGGCCCTGTGTTTAGCATAATTACTAATAGCTGGAAACAGGAAACAGCCCAAACAGCATCAACAGCAGAATGAACACACAAACCAGGCACAATGACGGGATGGAAACTGGAAGAGCAAGCTGAGCAAACTCTGCTCATGTAACCGGTGGAAGAGCGCAAAAATACCATGTTGGGTAAAATAAGCCGGCAGACACAAAAATCACAGGGTGTGCTTTCCCTGAGAGAAGTTCAAACAGCAAGGCTAATCCATAGTGCAGAAGGTTGGGGCTTCCAGAAGGCGCAGAGAGGACTGGGCTTCTGATTAATGAGATTTTGGTGAAAATTCATCAAGCTGTGTATTTACTATTCTCTATGTGTGTTTCACAAAGTCTACACAAAGTTTTATTTAAACAATTATTTAAGGCATCAAAACTTACAAGCTGAGGAGAGTCTCATCCAATGATTCTGTTCTAGTGAAATCTTTGACAACAGACAAGGAGAAGGGTGGTCTTGCAGGAACAGGAAGTGTTCCCTGTAGGAATACTGCAGGGGGGGGCTCTGCTGAGGGTGCGGGGGGGGGGGCACTGATAGAGCCAGGTGTTGTGCTCAGATATCTGCTGTCTTCTCAAGCATTTCATCCAAATGACAAGTGGAGACCAGCGCTCCAAAGGATCCCATCTAAAGGTTCTCCTCTATGAAGTAAGGAATAAGATCTTGGAGGGTCTGTGTCCTGGAGGGGCTGGGTCTCTTAGTTCAACAAAGCGGCATTTGAGAGTCTTATTTAAGTCCCGTGGGACAGCTTTGGGCTCTTTTGTTTGTTTATAATTTATTTGGGGGGGGCAGTAAGTCATTTCTGGGGACACATGGGGCTTGGAGTCTTCCCTTTCTAGGAGCACAGACTCAGGGTGAGTTTAACATCCTCACTGTGACCAACTACTTATAACAGCATAATGCTCATTAATTGCTTCACCATACACATTTGCCATCATGCAGAATAGCTCAGGCCCACACTGTAATCTCTTAGCTAAGTTCCCTTTTCCAAAGAATTAGACATTTTGATAATTATTTAAACATCTATGTGATGATTTCTATGGCCCCAAAATGAAGATGTAAATAAATGCATTGAAGACTCACTCGGGTGTTGAACATGTGCACTTGGCTGCAGGCAGGTGGCATTTCGTTTCCCCAGCATTTACCAGGTGTCCAGGAGGCCAGAGCACCTGCCAGATGAAATGCAAGGATGCCAGTCTTTCATACTGCAGGTCGCCAGTTCATAGTGTCTCCAAATGAGCAAGTATGATGAAGCTTGAAGCAAAAGAGAGGCCCAGGAAGGGTCAGTCTCCCAAATCTCTGTCCCAAGTTAGACCAGGTGAGACTACCTGTGTCTGTGCAGGGACAGGGCCATGCAGAGTGGGAGGGGGAGGCCAGCTCCTTTCACCCTGGAGGATGAGACATCAGACCCTGAGAGCGGGGAGGAGTTCGCATGCAGCAGCGAAGGCACAGTGGGGCCAAATTGCCTTTCACATGCCTGCCACTGTCCGCAAAAGAAACCTGGGTGAAAACACCAGGAGACAACTGGCTTTAGAAAGCAGAGCAGAGAACACAGCTTGACGGTGGCTTTGTCACTAATGGAATTCTTTCAGGCAGCTCCTTCTACAGATAATCGACTCCAGGAGGGTCAATTGAGCCACAAACATTTTTAGGGCGGTCTGTGCACCTGCAAGACCCTCTGATGAGTCTGTTTGGATGGAAGAGAAGACAGGTGTGGCCTGACCTCAAGAGGGACTGAGCTGGGGAAATAATAATGAAACATGGCAGCTGCTGGAGGGGGCTGTCTCCCGTTTCCTGTACACACTTGGTGCGGCTGCATATCAGGTTGGGGAGTGAGCTAGAAAGGATGTTTCATTTGTCCTCAGTGTAAGATGTCATCGAGCAGACATTCTGAAAGAGTTACTTATGCCTCCTCTGGGTTCTGTTTCTTCCTGCTTAGGCCCAGAAGGGCATGCCCTGTACTGCTCACAGCTGACCTATGTGAAACTCACCCAGTTGGCACTGGCCAAGAGCAGGATGCCAGTGAGGATGGCCCTCCTGGCTGCAGCAGAGACTAAGAGAGGAGCTGTTCCATGAGAGCAGACTGGCAAGGCTGGCACTCATCTCTGTGCCTCCGACCTCTGATGACAATTCCCAGCACGCATGAACCAGACCTCCTAATGGGGGTGCTGGTGATTCAGAGGGTCATAGCTGAGCAGGAATTTGGAGCATGAGACACTGACACACACACATGCCCGATGCCTTTGGGCTTGGGTGCTTTGACGAGCAGGAAGAGCCTATGGTGACACCATCTTGATCTCGTGAACAATTACTAGGCTTGGATGGTACATCCTGAACTTCAGTCTCTCTTTCTCTCCCAGTTCTTCGGGTCCTGTCTGGTCTTCCTGCCTGTTTGGATGGGCATCTGTCCACCAGGGATGGGTGCTTTTGGAATCTGATCAGGAGTCTTTGTTTTGAAATCCCGCCCTCCTCTACTCCACTCCCTCTAGCACACTAGAGTCTGATCACCTTGCTTTAGTGCACTTGGGTGACATGAACCTTTAGAATAGGCAACATGAGTTTTTCCTCTTAACCGTTGAGAGTTCCTGGGCACCCAAGAGTTTTACCCAGTGTCTGTCTTGGTTCTCAGACCAAGCCACCCCCCAAGTAACAGCAGCAGTCACCTCAGGCTCCTGTGCAGAAAATCAGCTATCACCTGACAAAACGATGCGCTCACCCACTGTCTTTGTCCCTTGCTTCCTGGACTCATGGCAGAGTCTCCCAAGCGCTTCTGGCCGTGTCACCCGTTGCCCTCCTCTGTCTGTCCTCGGTGCTTACTCCAGAGCAGCGGCAGTGGGGCCAGACACAGCTGCACCTGTCACCTATGGTCCCCTGCCTGTGTGCCGGGTCACACGCGGTGGTGGTCTGGGGGGCACAAGTTGTTGAGTTTGGCGACTAAAGTCTTGCGTCCACATAGTAAAGGCCAGGAGGCCCATCACCACACAGCCAGATCTCAACCCCAAACCTTTGTTCTTTGGGTGCAGATTATATCCTGGCTGTCCCCCATAAGTGAATTCCATCAGCCCCAGCAGGGAAAGAAGCTGAAGCCTCTTGCTCTCGATGCAACTCTTCAACACACCAGCAACCACAACTCCTAGCTGCCGCAGTTTCTCTCCAGCCCACACAGCCTTTCACTTTTCACTGGCCACGTCTCTGCTTTGATCTTTTACCAGCTGCTTCCCTTTCTACAGATGCTTCCCTAAAATCCATTTCCTCCCGTGAACATTTTCATCGATTCCTGCATGGCAGGATCCACAAAATAGTACAAGAAAGATTGAAAGCCAGGGAAATGCCAGCCCCGGCAGCCATTAAACCCATCCATGCAGAAATGTCTGTGTGTGTGTTTCTGTAGTGCCTCAGGATGGAAGAAAAGCCAGTGCAGCCAGCATAGAAAAAATAAACACAATGATGAAGAACTGGGTTATCTAATCCTCTTTCCATGTCACTCTGCACATCTGAGATGGTTTGCTTCACAGAGAAAGGAACCATCCGGGAGGGAGAAGGTAGTCTTGTCATAAGTTTAAATGAACCCCGTCAGAATTAGAAGGTGTGACAAAACACCTGGGCTGCATGCCTGTGCTTCCAGGCCAGGAGCAGCGTGGAGACAGGAGGGGGGTGGGGCCTGCGGGCCAAAGGGAGAAGAACCATGTTCCTTTGCTCTGGGACAGCTTCATGGGAAATGCTGCTAAGAGTTGGGAAAGGGAGATTTGTTATTTTAAGATTAATTTATTTATGTATACAGAACTGGAGTACAAGCCAGAGGTACAGGAGGTGTGAGAGGATTCCCCAGAGACAGAGTGGGGAGCAGAACAGGCAGATCCACGAAGTACACTGCTGAGGGGAGGAGAAGGTGGGTCAGGAGGGGATAGAGCATGCACACGACCCCTAGTGATAGGAAAGCTCATGTGCTTCCACCATCTTTAGTGCCCACAGGAACCTTCCATCTGCCGAGGCGCGAACGTGGTGAGGGAGCCGAGCACCTTCCGTCTGTCCCCCTGTAGCCTGCTCTCCTGGCCGCCGGTCTCTTCCTCTCCCCCGCTGGCTGCAGCCAATAGGAAGGACAATGGGCAGCCCCAGGAGAAAGGCGAGAGATGGAAATGATCCCATGATCCCACAGCCCCTCCTGGCAAGGCTCACAGGGGCGCCAACCCTCAGTTGGGGTCGCTTCCCACACGCCCCGGGACCACTGTCTTCCCTCCCTCACCCTCTGACTAGTCTTCAGGATTGCTCCACCCTGGCCCAATTTCCTCTAAATCACCCAATTTAAGCAGCTGCCTCTTTCCAGCGAGGACTCTGATGGACCCGCTAGGAAAACGTAATGAGCCAGCCTGGCAGCCTCCAGCACTGTTCGAGGCTTGTGATCTTTATTTTAAAGTAAAACCAGTCGTCCCAGTTGATGTTCAGGTGCTTAGAGACAGAGTTGGAAATGGCAGGGCAGTGTCGCTTTGTTGATAAAGTTTGGAATTTAAGGGCTCCCTGGTGGCACAAGGGGTTAAGTCTCAGCACTAGGAAGCTACCGGCAGCCACTGCAGTAAGAGTTCCACCCCTGGCCAGGGAGTTGGCCCACAAGGTGCATCAGACCTCTCCTGTCTCGCCAGCTGCTCCCCTCAGCAGTGATTTTCCGTAGACACACCTGTTCTCTCCCCACTGGGTCTCTGGTGAATCCTCTCACCTCCCCCGACCCTGCATACCACAGCTCACTCCTGACCTTCTGTGAGTCTAATCTGTATATTTTTAACGGATGATTTAAAAACAGCAGAGGACTGCGTAAAGGATAAAATCTCCTTTTGCATAATGTAAGAAACTTAACAAATTCTAAAATATTTTTTCCAAGGGAGAGTTTATTTATTTATTTTTTTAACATACAGTGTTTCCTTACAAACTGCAGACCTTTTCCCAGGAAAAGTATCTATTCAGATGGTATACAATTTGAATGCTGATTAGTTTCACATGAAAGATGATCCCATTAAGAAAAACCGGATGCAAACAACCTCAGGAGATATGACAGATAAACAGCACAGCCACTCCAAGTGGATGTACACTTGTATCTTTTCCTATAAGCACAGCGAGACGAGTTTTGAAATACACCTGTCCTCCTGAAGGGGGTCTTGGTAAGTTTACCTTCCATTTCCCATGGTTTGCCAGCATTCACCTGAATACAGGTGTGTCAAAGGTCCACTCCAGAGCTCCCCGTGCTGAGCACCTTTGCTTTTACCAAGAGTGATCTTGGGCAGAGATCTACTGATGATGGTGATGAATCAAGTTACCCTTGGTGTTCCAACAACGCACGTCTGTCAGTTCCATCCCATCACGACATGGGCGACAAGCAGGTAGCAGGTGCCAACCATGCAGGACACGATCATCACTGGGAAGCCCCACCTGCAGTATAGAGAGAAATGGTTTGGGGCCTGGAGTCTGGAGTCTGGCCAGGACGGAAACATCCAGACTCACTGCAGTGTAATGTTACTTCAATTTAAAAAATTTCAATATTCTTTGGGAATAAAAGGAAGTCAATACCTTCTCAGATGAAGAAAAACTGAAAAATCAGCAGGTTTTCCCTAGTAGAATGGTTAAAGGATGGTCTTCAAACAGAAAGAAAATTATAAGAGACAGTATCTTGGAGCATCAAGAAGAAAGAACAAAAAGCAGAAGTTAGTTCAATACAATACATTTTCTTTCTCTGCTTGAGTTTTTAAATTGTTTCATGGTGGAGGCAAAAATTATACCACTGATGGAAAAAATGCAGCGGAATATTAAGGCTAATTACAATGTAAACAGAGTTAGAAGGGAGGAGAGTTTCTACCTCCATTTGAACTGATGTAACACAGTCAACTGTGTTAGATTATATAACTGAACTATACTACCTAGAATAGACACCAAACATTTATAAAGAGACGCATTTAAACACCAAAAATACACCAAGATGGAAATCTGGGACATTATCAATGAACTCATAGGGAGGCATGAAAAAGAAACAGAGAAACTCAAAAGAGAAATAATCAACAAAAATAATTAAAATAACAGATATAACCCCTAACTATAAAGAAAAAAGACAGACGAAGAGATAAGACACAGAAAGATTTGAAATGCCAGTTCTAGTATTTTCAATTCCAGCTTCATTCTTTGCTAGTTGAGTTATACTACACCAACAAATAACACAGATATTTTCACATACCATAAAAATTCCGTAACCCATAAAGATGCACACATAAGCGGAAAGTGTACCTTTACAAAGAGAATTCATTTAGGTCAAATCTGGCCACTGCCTGTTTTTGTAAATAAAGTTTTATTGGCATGAAACCACTCACACTCCCTTATCATCTATTGCTGCTCTAGAGCTAGCAAAGCGCAGTAGCATTGAATAATTGATACCCTGTGGTCTACAGGCCTGAAAGGTTTAATATCTGACCATTTACAGAAAACATTTGCCATCCCTGTTATGGCGACCAACACCCAGTCTTGAGAAGGTGAGGGGGCTGCTCTCCACCCAGTTTCCTGTCATCTCCACCCAAACTGCAAGCAAGTCCTGGACCACTTACCTAGGCAGTAAGAAATACAACAGAAGCCACTGTGGGATTCAACTTTGCTGGTACCATGTACTAGCAAAACTAAAGGGACCAGGTGAGATGAATGGTGGTAATGCATTCTCTTTCACCCTATGTTTGCAAAATCTTATTTTAAATATAATCAACATAGAAATTTACATTCCTTTTTATGTTAAAGGCTCAAAGCCTATGGTGGATTTTCCATTAACAGCACACTCCTGTGGGGCCTGCCATATCTCAAGATTCAAGAGCCACAGTGGCTGGGAGCTGTTATAAGATCTACTGTAGGAGACCTCCACTGGCAGCTGACAGCATCTGCAAAGCAGGATTAGAGCAGGCAGGTGGCCCTGCTGAGCCTTCCCAGGGGAGCCTCTGGATGGAAGCTTTGTAGCGAGAACCAGTTGAGACTGGACAGTAGGGGCCACCATCATCGGAAATCATCTCCCCAGGTGAGGAAGCTCACCAGGGGGACCTTTTCCTTAGACATTTTGGAAGTAGTGAATGAGTGCATGGAAGCACACGTGCATGCACACACACAGGTCCTCAAACGTTCAGGTTAGTATAGAGTCAAGGGATCAAGGATGCTGCCAGCTTTTTCTGGTGCAGAGACCAAGGCTGGCATGCTGCTTCTCGGGGCAGGACCTCGCTGCTTTTTCCTGTGGGTGTGCAGCAAGCTTGGAGGTGTGTGTTGCAAAGTTTCACTCACTGCCCAGGAGGCTGCTGGAAGCTTTATGTGAAGAGAGGCCAGTCATGACATTCTGTCCCTGACAGCAGGGCTGCAAATACACAACATTTATGTGCCGTGTTAACTGGGAGCTGGTCCATTTCCCAGCAGATCCATTTGTCCTTCTCCCCAAGCCTCTCAGAAAAGCAATACCCCCAGCAAAAGGCTTAGGAGAAGCAGATTTGCTCAATATCCAGCTTCGCATTATGCTTTCATCTCCCTCTGGGATTATTTTCACTCCGCTCTGGTTCCAAACATCACATTCTGTTACAGAAGACAAAATCACTTGAATGTCAAAGCGCAAATCAAGATGCAAGATGGCAGATGGTTGCCCAGACAAAGGTGGCATTAGAAGCATTCAGCTTGAGGTTAAAAGCCAGTCTGTGAGGGTGCACGGCACTCCCAGAATCTGGCTCCCCAAGTGCTGGGAAGTGGGCTACCCCGACCCTGCCTCACACTCTTCCAGGAGATGCACCGCTAGATACCTGCTTTTCCAAAAGAAACGTTTGCTAATGGAGCCTCCTGCTGAATCCATTCATCCTGTTTGTTTTTCCTTCCACTAGGAGCTTATCTGGGCCTACATGATGGTTGCTCATGAAAAAGCCATTTTGCTGCTACCTGTCCACAAAGACAATGCAGGTTTCCAGGTAGAATACTTTCTGCTTCTAGGCCCTGGGAGGTGCACACACTTGCCCCACTTCCCAAAGAACATGCACCCCTAAAAGCTTCTGTCCCCCACCCACCCTAATACACATAAATGGAATCTTTATTTTTGCTACTATATTCTCTTTTCAAGTATCTAAGTTAATTTTTGCTCTCTTTCTTGATTGATGCAAAAGCTTTATCTGTAATATCAATAATGTTAAACCCCGCCCCCCCAAAAAAAATTCACCTCTTGGTTTGCCAATTTTATCGTTTTTACTCTCCTAGTTCAGTAAGTTTTTGGCTCTGTGTTGTCTGGTTCTTTCCTGCATTATTTTGTTCATCTAATATTTTCCCCCAATTTAAAAACAACTAAAATAAAAGGACTTTAGGCTAGGAGTTACCCTCAAATTTGGCAACAAGAGCTGTCTTTGAAGTTCCTGTGTTACTCTCTTCTCTGGAGCTGAGTAAACTGTTGGGAAACCCTGAGGGGTTAGGCAGAGTAAAGACAGACCAAATTGAGTTGGCTACATACAAACAGCAACCACCCAGAATCTAATCTCCCTGTCAGGTAATTTCTTCCTGCAAAGAAATTAAAAATAAAGTGCATAAAGCAGCAATTAAAAGTCTAGTGCTTTGTAAATGCTCTTGAAATGGGATGCTTTCTCGTTGTTTTTGTTACCAGTAATACCACTGCAAATTTTATTAATACAACTACTATTACTCCTACTCTTACTATTACTTTATTTTTTTCTAAAATGAATCATTTTTCTTATTATTTTCAATTTGCAAATAATAATTGTGGCCAGAGCCTATAGTTATAAAATCATTGAGATTACTTTCATGGCTTCCTTATATGATGAATTTCTGGAATTGTTTTGTACACTCTTGAAAAAAACCATATCCTCCACAGAAAATGAAGACTATTTATCTTATGACTCCATTCTCAGAAATGAATGGTGTCATGTAAAAGTCTTCCATTACCAACAAAGTTTATGTTAATTTCTCCTTTCATTCCTGATTGGTTTTCTTTATGCATTTGATGTTATATTTCAACAATTAAAAACAATTATACTGTCTCTATCCCAGTGACTTTTTTTAATATGACTTCTATATTACATATGTTGTGTTTCTATCTTTTTTATCTTTTGAATTAGCTAAATTTATTTTTATTTTTAACCATTCTTTACTACTCTGATCTGTCTTTAAAGTAAAATCCAGTTAGAAATGGATTTATAATCCTATTATTGATTCTTGCCTCTCTACAGCTCCATTTGGCTTTCCTTACATAATCTTGACTTATGCTTTGCATTTTTAGATTTTTCCTGTTTTCTCTTATTTACTAATACTCTTAAATCTATGTACCTCAATTATGAATGATAAATAAATGAACCCATACCCTCTGGCTCTCCTATACAAGACAAGAGTCCTATACAGGGACTCTCAATTTCGCCATTATCCCTCAAAACATTTTGTGGTCTTCATTAATTCAAGATGACATTGGAGATCTGGGTTACTTTTGTGAAATTCATGTTAATTGCAATATATGTCTTCTGTTTAGGTACATTCTGGCTATCTCATTTTGACTGAATAGCCTGTTTACAACATTAAGAATCTTATTTCGATAAGTATGTTTTTAATCGATCGTAGTGTTTGTGATAAACCATTTTCTCACCACAAAGGCCAAAGCTTAAGTGCTTCATTCTAGAAAACATATTGAACTAATCACTGTCAGGAAATGATAGTGGTGGTGTTTTTTTCTGAATCCTTACTGGATATACTGTGGAGGAGGAGGAGGGCAACCTGTCAGTTACAATAACAGCAGATGGCATCTGTGAGTGGTAACTGGCAAGCGGCAGGTCTACACGCATTAGCTCTGTTAATCCTCATAAGCGCCTGTGAGATTAATAATATTCTCCACTTTCAAAGATAACATAACTAAGACGAAGATTGGTCACCCAGGTCCCATAGCTGGTTAGGAACAAAAGCATTGAAGGTTCTGAAATGTTAGTAGATGGATAGAATGGGATCATACTGGAAATTAGAAATCTAGAGTCATAGTCACATCCTATCAAAACTCTGTCATCTATTTGTATGTATAAGGTTCTTAGATTCTTGTAGAAATGTTATCTTTATCTTTATTATTAAAAATACTGACAAGCTGTGTCATAACATGAAGATCATTCAATTCATTCTATCTGGGACATAGTGAGCACATTTGGATGGATATTCCAAATTCAGTTCTTGTGGTGCTATTTTTTTAATACTCAAGTCGTTTTCTTCAGTAATATTTGTTTCATTGCTTCTGTTTATTTCCTTTTTTATTTGTATCATCTTTTTCCTGAGCAAAGCTCACCCAGATAGACAGGCTGGTGAACTCTCACTGGGCCTCTGAAATTTGCTCAAGCCTGGGTCCATCTCCAGAAAAAACAGGCAAGTCTCCTTCCACGGCTGGCCAGTGCCCCACC